GTGAATGCACGAATCTGCAAGGCTCGGGCCGCGTTTGCTAACTTGAGACACCTATGGCGTCAGAATGGTTTATCCCTGAATCTGAAGGGACGGTTGTATCAGGCAACAGTACGGGCTGTTTTGTTGTATGGCTGTGAGACTTGGCCTATTCGAGCAGCGGAACTGAGACTTCTTAGGTGTTCGAGCCATCCATCTCACGAAACCTCGAAGTGTCTCAAACCCGCGACCTCCCGGCTAGTAGTTTTAACACTTAACCTTTCAGTCACGAATGATCAGCAGTGCTACTCGCCTTCCAGGATGGGGACCCCATCTCACGAAACCTCGAAGTGTCTCAAACCCGCGACCTCCCGGCTAGTAGTTTTAACACTTAACCGTTCAGTCACGAATGGCTGATCAGCAGTGTGGTAAATCCACACTTAGACGGGATATAGCGCCGCTCATCCACGCTGCTCATCACGATATCCACATCACGCGCTCAAACGTGTTGACTGGCTCCTCGGGCAACGACTTCTCAGAGAGAAGTTACGCTCATCTCCCACTGCCAACAATATATAAGTGGCTCAGTGGAAGAATAAATTTCACCCAATGAGTGAAGCTTCGATCTGAGAAGTCGTTGCCCCAGGAGCCAGTCAACACGTGTGCCCGCGTGATGTGGAACCCGATGTTGAAGGATTAGCGGCGCTATACCCCGTCTAGGTACGGGTTAATCACACTGCTGATCAGCAACTCGTGACCGGACGGTTAAGTGTTCAAACTACTAGCCGGGAGTTTCGTGAGTTGCGCACTGCTGATGGTTCACAATAAGGATGAATTAGCTGTACAGTGCTTCTCGGCTTTTCAGGATAGATTGGCTTCACTTACAGAACAAAATCTCCACAAAACTCCCAAATCACCTCACACTTCCATCAAATATATGTTGTTATCCCGTGAACTCGCCTTTGTTTCAAGCCTGAAATGTATCACGACACAGCAGTTGACGTGACAGGGTACGCGATCCACTGCATATCAGCGGCCACTTGCGCTAGTGGGCTAGTCGTAGAGCATACAAAATTCCAAGCTTTGTCCCTACCCCGCTATCTGGGTTGAAGTAAACTTCCCCCGACCACCGACGGCAGGTATGCAGGTTGCCGATCCTTGACGCAGCAGGATTTGCCCCTGAAGATTATTGCGGCCCTTCCTAGTTCCAGCCACAGAAGCTACTTTACAATCCAGTTCATTTGTACACGTTGGTATCCTGAGCGGTCGGTGGTGGGTTGGGAACAAGTCTAAGGGGTTCACCTTTTCTCGGTAGTTTGTGATGTGATAGCCACTATTGGTTGACAGAAAATCAACCCAAATAAAACTACCAAGAATGGCTCTTACCGCTTTCAGCCAACTGATCTCTAAATACACAGAACCAATTGATGCAGGGGAGACACTGCCCGGCGGGGCCCACCCTCTGGGAGAACATAGGTGTTTACACCACGGACTGTAAGCTAGTTAACGTAGGTTGACTTCATCTTGTTCATTCCGGCACAATGATAACGTAGCCTTGACAGTCGCAGCCGCAATCGCCTCAAAATGAAGGAATATGCATAGGCTGTCTTTCGACAAACCACGTTCTGGACGTAAACACCGCCCTCCAGTATTTGCCGTCTGTCGCACTGATACGACACACGCATTTCAAATTCTCAGAAGAGCCACTCAACGTGCCATGACACCTTTTGTATGGCATGTCCCAGTGTGTCCGAGTAGTGAGCCTGGTTTTTCAGGCCACCATAGATATTCTTCAGACAGTTTTTGGTCATACAACCAAAGTGAGCCATCCCGGATTGCACGCGCATATCCTGATTTGGGTGAGTACAGCCAGTGGGGCGGATTGCAGAATTGCGTATCCATGGGCTGGAATATTTTCAGGTTTTTTCGGAATCCGTGTGTTCGTATTACGGTAGACAAATAACACTATACGACGTTATCGAAGTGGGCCATGCGGTGGAATATATGCCGGCTGTACGCACACAGTCACCGTGACCAAAAGTACATGGATGTGATATGACACATGATGTTTCCTGATAGCTCTTCTAGCATGAAATTAGGACAACATTACTTCATAGCTGAATGAGATTCTCGCAGCTCGCATTTGTGCCGTCAACACATTCCTGACAAAAATTTCACTTTATATTCCTCCTCCATCATTTCCCTAAACAAGCCAAACAGTTTACAAATAGGCGCAAACCGTCGCTATCCACGGAGGCGTACTCCGCCGGAAGCAGGGTACCCGTGCCACCCGTCATCAGGAAAATATGCGGCTTATATCTACAAGCCGGATATTATGTGCCCAAAATGGCTCGTTGTGTGCGTTCCATCAATAGTTACTGGAAAGCGTTGAAACAACGCTATGCGCAGCCACCTAGAGAAGCATATGTGGCATTTCCCCTGATTGCAGCACAAGCAAGCATCCAGTCTTCCAAAGTACCGCTGGTACTAAAGGTATATCATCTGCCACAATCGAGCCCAGCAATGCAACACCTACAAGAAAGAGCTGGAGGATATGTATGTCCCGACTGGCAGGTGTTTTGCCGGATTCATGGTCCAAAACTTCTCAAACTTCACACAACACCGTTTCACACTTCAGCAGGGCCCTGCAGGTGCCCAACTCCTCTTTGGTTAGCTAGCTGGTAATACAGAAAGTTCGAAACCTCGCGATATTGTACAAGATTATAACAGGCGCCTGAAAAATATTTTCTCTGCATCCTTAATCACAATCGCATTGAACGCTCGGGTATTCGAATGTTGTTTTTTGTTAGAAAACATGACCCGCATACTAGCTTCCTTACTGGATGAACCCACAACTGACACATAATTCCCGCTATTTTCCATTTACCGCCATATCCGACGCCGCGAGGAACGAACAGGGAAAAACGTAATTTCTGGACAGACATGTGTGAAGCCAACTGTGAAGGCATTTTAGCAGGTTCAGAGTCGAATGCGCACCAAAAATTAGTTAATTTGCGACAAATGGCAAAAAAATGATGGCAGGTTAGAGTAATTCTCGGTCTGAGCACAAATGAAACTAACTGCAACATTTTGCCGTTAAATGTTTAATTCCACTCGCAAACGTTTTGCATAAAAGTGCATTGTGCTTCCAAGGCGCTGCTCTAATCGACCATCAGCTTTTTTTGTTGTTACATCAAGCACCAAGCGAGAAAAAGAATGACGCCGAGAAACTGAACGCTGCTGGTATGCTTGGAGAACATTCACAATGAACAATGTACGTTATATCGGCTCTCCAGCGACGTATTACTCCCACCGGTGTAATAACGCTTTCATCGACGGATCTTGCCACCCAGAAAGGTGCTACTCCGACGGCGGCCACACTAAACGATTCCTGATTTTTTCGTGATGATAGTGAACACCACCATATGAGCTGGGGCCGTATTGTGTATATATTGGGAAGGATGCTTAATGCTCAAGTGCTCCACACGTAAAAATGCCGTCTGCATTGTTAACCGAGTAGGCTACAACTTTTTACCCACTTGATAGATGGTGGTCTTTCTTATTTCGGAACCTGCACTGATGGAGTTATGTGGTTTTCGTGATGTTTGGAAGCGACACATTCGTTTTCACGCAAGCTTTTTCTATTTTTACAAGACGTTTTCAGTCTTGGTCTCTCGCATGGCACGAGTTATCCTGGGTAAATTCCTTAATGTCTCCACATTCAGATATGTGGGCATGCGCTGCTTTTCTTCCTTCCGACGGATTGCTTGGAATATAGATAAACGGTCATGTGAGCTCTTTTGGAAGCAGCGCGTTACTCAGTTTGATCGAGTTGACGGGTGAACAATAAAGAATAGGAATTTTCTTAATCAACAAAACGACATCGCAATTGCTATGTTTTGCTATGACGGTGCTGCGGGTTTTTGTGCGCACAAAACGGTCAACAAACATGTTCGTTCCGCAGGCACGTAAAAATGTTCTTAAGGCTAAACCTAAGCGCGATTGGAACAGACCCAATCGCATTTCTTACTCACGTAGCGCGGAAGAGTGGGAACCAAACCCCCGGATATAACAATGTACCTTTTGCATTGTTTACACATCCTCGCGAAGACCGACAGTATTCCGTCTCGCACTCACAGCTGTGTTATTCATCCGCAGTTGTTTTTGTTCGTTGGAAAGTTGAACGACAATCGATTGAGAACGCGAACGTGTGTGTCGAAATCTACATCCGGCTGAAACCAGGAAATGGGGTTCAGAGGATCATCTGGCAGATGAGCGGTTTATGCATGGATGGCCGGCTAGGAATCCGAGAGGTAAAGTCTATACTTTTGCGTTGTATCCGCATAACTAAATGTGCTTGGAACCAAGCTCTGATTCGCGTTGCTCCAAGTAAAACAACGGAGTACTGTCAAACAGTCCGATGCTAGGTAAAAGACTACCTGCTATCGCCCATTGGTTTTTGATGCTGACTTCAAAATGCTCTCGAACGGTCAACATTCACGCTGTTATCTCCATGTGAGCCCTCTGTAGATCTGTGCAAATATATCGCGGGTACTTTTTACAGTGCATAGAAGCCCCTTTTTTCTCCTGTAAAATGTTAGCTGTTTACGGGTGCATTACCTTGTAACCGGCGACGAGCAGACAAGGTAAGTGACAGAGTATAATGTTATGGCAATGAATGTCCGCTGGATTTAATCGTGCGTGGTTAGGGTGTGATAATCATTAGTACGGTTAAGTGTCTGGGGGATACTTTTGGGTTTTTAGACTGGCTCCTGTTTTTCCTTCCATTTTCTGTTACCTGCCGGCTGCCAGACGGCACGTGGCTTTTCTTGACAGACTCTATAACTACTCGGATTTTCCAAGGAAAGTGGCCATCACCCGAAGGCCTGTAAAACATGTAGAACTTGCCTCCCACTTCTCCGAGGTGGAGTTTTGCTCAGACATTAATAACAGACATATTTATCCCTGTTCACATCGCAACGCATGCGATTTCCCCTTAGTTTGGACTCAAAAGAGCGTAAGCACCGTGAAACAGGGTGGTTGAGGATTTTTATGATCCAAACCAGTTATTTGGCTGCATTTGGTGATCAGAACGAATAAGACTAAAATACCCGCACAGATGCAAGATGCTTTGGAAATCCCACCTACGCAATGATGACCTTCTAGTATTATTCATCGATATAATTTGCAGTGTTGTGGGTTACTGCCTTATTCCCAAGTAGTCATCTGCAATTGAATCGGCGGCGCTTTGTGGCCAAGAAATCACACTCACTTTACGCAGCATCTGTCAGTGCGGTACATCGAAGCATGCAGCGTGGCTGGACGCATTCCGATTGAGGTTCATTGCGTCCAATTTGTCCGGCCTGGCAAAATTATCTCTCGCTTTCACTAAGTGATTAGTCCATTTGTTATCGCGCGAGTATGAATTCACAGTATCGAGATGCCAGGTGCCATGACTACCATATTCGGTTCAGAGCTACCGAATTTTATTCATAAACCACACTTATCCGCCAGCTGCGTCGTTCACAAGAACAATTTTTCTCAGTTACAGCTGACCGCCTTACCACAAATATGATGGGTGCGTTTCGGTCTTTGCTGTTCGTTGTAATTAAATCCTACCAATTTTGACAAGAACCCGTCTGTGTTAGGCCCGTACTTAGCCCATGCATTGCTAGGCATTCGCAGCTAGTCTCTTGTCTTTAACTGTACAATAATAATAATACTTAATTTTGTGCCTCCCACAGGTAGGAAGACCTTGATTGGGGACTGAAAGGCACAAATGAATAATCGACGCCTGCTAACTGAATAAATGACGGACGGAAGTGTCACCAAAATTATTCACAATGTGATTTTGGGATGCAAACGAGAGGTTTATTCCAAGTCCTGGACTGCCGAGAAGCGACTGCTATTACTGGAGGTGCTCACCTAGGAAGGGCGTAGGTGGCGGTCAAAATAGATGGCAAAATTCGAACAGCTGATAAGATAAAGCCCCAAAATTGTGACTGGAATAAGAAATTTATGGAGTGTTAAGTCAGTGAAGAACCACCAGGGGAGACCGAAGAACAACAATGCACTATCTTGGCTTGTATATCTATTAGTTGCTAGGAAGCAGTGCCATTTTATAGAAAAACAATGGACTTGTTCGTAGGGGCAGTGGTAAACGATATGTGGCTCCAATGGCAAAAGTGCCCACCAGGAGGAAGCGGTTGTAATGTTAGTGATAATGTTAACAGGAAGGGGCTAAAACCTCACGCAGTGATGCAATGGTATCTATAACCCTTCTTTGGTCATCTAACTGCATGTTGCCGGATAGTTTCTGCTAAATTCGTGCAAGACTGATGGAGCCTATGTTATTCTCTATTGGGGGTGAGCGAATGAATTCGGGGACAATGACCAGCTGCTGTGCGGTCAACTAAAAGCATGTGCTTTACTAGTTGATACAAATTAACGAAAATAGAGCATTGCATGCCGCAGCCACGTCTGATGCCGGGACTGGAAGCGTTATGTATTCGGGGATAATTTGTGACCTCATCCTAAGAAATACCTCCGAGGTCCGGGCGTTCAACGAGTCTACATATCGTGCGGAAATCACTAATTTGTCACACCCTGAGCAACTGAATCGGGCTTCAACCGAGCAAAAAAATTGATACCGAGAATTTCACAGCGGAGTCCAAGTTTGGGTCACTCTCTAAATTGCAGGAAAATTAACCTACGTGCACGGAAACCAAACCTAACCTTGCTAACACTAGCAATTTTAGCCACTTCTACGGCTTCCACAAAATCGGTAGGCCTGGGTGGTTTTTGTAGTACTTAACAGCATATCTCTGCTCGACCTTAAAAAGAAGTAGATGACATCAGGAACCCAGGTCGACTGGTAAATAAATACAAAATCAGCACTATAAGTGGAGCCAACCGTGGGTGCATTTACAGACTGATTTAAAGCCTTGCAAAGATTAAGGTGTTAAGTTTTTCTATAATTGCCATTGACGAAAAACGTAATCCTCATTTCAGCTGATAGAAATCCTTCAACCACTGCATACGCCATGGGGAGAATCACATCGAACAACCAGGTCTAGCAAAGTAATGATCAAAACAGAGAGAAGCATAAATAGGCCGATTCTCATTTTTCGATTGCGGTCATCAGCAGACAGCCAGCGGAATCCCAGTAACGCACAGCACTTGTGCTACAGGTCAATGCATTAACGAACTTTGGCTGCAGTAAGGCGAGCACCAATAGCAAAAGCGTCGTTCCGTGCGGGACAGCAGTAACCGTAACCCGACTGCGCCCGGAAGTTCAGGCAAAAAGGCCATGCTGACTCATACCTCCAGTCGGGGAGGCGTAAAAGGAAAGCTAGTAGCAGACTTCCGTTGTCGGGAGCTGTCCACACTAAGCGCTACCAACCGGCTAGGCTGAAGCAGCTAGATGTTTGGGCAGTGTGTAGCACATGCAACCTAGAGAAAATGATAAATATTAATATAATCTAATTTAATGGTTTTGCTTCCGTCATCCAAGTGAGGCAACAGTAGATTGGCCGAAATCATTAGGTTACTAGGAAATCAGTTGTGAAGAATATTAGGTAATCAGGAAGATCATCACTGATATAAATATCATGTGAATTCAGGCTAACCTAGAAAGGGATGACCACTCCGAGCTTCAGCTGTATCTGTTGGCGGGTAGGATGGTGCCAAAAAGCACTTTTTGTTGGCACTGATGAAACTACGTCGACACATCGTGAGCAAAATACAAGCTAGTGCATAACAGTTTACTCAACGGGACTTGGCAGATGAAAGTGTACCTGTTCGGAGTCCTCTATGTGGTCTGCCCATTGAAGAGGTTTATTCAGAAGGGCCTTTTGTCCCCTGGTAACCGCTATATCGAGAAAGTTCCCCGAAACAAAGAGAGCACGGATAAGTTGTAGGAAGGCTAATTAACATCTTTGACAAATGCGATACGAGCCTGCATGTCAGAAAGAATGGGTTCCAACGAAGATACCATAGAAATTACCTGCTGATAGTGGTCAGATACGACGACCTCGATCCTGAAGAGTACCGGGGCTGTGTAACCAAGGGATACACTCCGGTAATGGTAGTGTGAATTACGATGAAGAAGTTTGAGCAACCCTAGGTACTTTGTTTCAGTACTTCTGAAAGGTGAATGAAGTGGACAAAGCAATATAATATGCCAATAATAGTTTAAAAGGTCGTACTCTTTAAGGCCGTGATAGCACAAGGAGTGAGGCGCGTTCAGAACTTCGTCTAATTGAAACAAATGCTGTGAACCTCAGTGATGTTCACCCGGAAATGCTCCGTCCATTCAAAGGAATGCATATGGCTCCTTTGGAAGCGCTATTTGGGGGGTCCGAAAATTAAAGGAGTATGCCAGTTTTGGATAACCGGAAACGTGAAAACGACACCTAAGTATGGATAACCGGGAAACCGCCTGAATCTACCAGGTTGCCAGTTTACATGGTAGTCCTAATGCTTCTTGAGACAACAGTCGGAGAACTTGAACATCTGTGGGACATTAAGGCTCCCAAACCACGAACCTGTGTACAAATGCTCGTGCTCATTCATTCCTGATACTCTATCAAGGAAAAAAGGCTGGTATACACCACACACACCTCCGAAAATTTGGTTCTTACGTTAAGCCACACAAAGCTATTCACCAGTGAGGATTATACTGCTGCCGGTGCATGTGCTAGTGCAGCCGGGACACATGAACTACTCAAATAGGAGGTCCCGGAATAGCCTTCAGGGGAGGATTACCGATCAGTGCTCGGGCCTTCACCGCGTGTGAAGGATCCCCCGATAAGCCCCGAAAACCCTCACATGTTCGTCAATAGGTAACGCGAAGCAAAGGAACACATGTCGCGATTCGCGTGGGCTCAGTACCACGGATGCCGCTCACAACCATGTCCTAGCCTCGCAGCGGGTATCAATTCACCCTAACCACCACCAAGATACGCTGTGTCTGAGTCGTAGGGTTCGGAGAAAGATACTTAAGGATTTCACTCGAGGTTAGTTGGTTTCTAGGCTTCTACGCGCTGCACGATTTGAAATGTTCAGTAAGCTTGTGAATGCCCAATGCGCGCGTGGTGCTGCCCAAGGTACGTTTTAGTCACTTTTGCCCAGAGGTTCGGAGCGCGTGCGGCAAGAAATTTGATCATTTCCGGCATGAATTTTGCGCGGCACATTGAAGAGAGTGAAATCCTTTTGGCTAAAGGGTTATCCCATCTGAACACTCGAAATAAGAAACCCCGTAAACAGAACCCTCATAAAACTGAAGGACATCGAGGCTGAGACAGTGAGGTGAGACCGAAGAGATGGCACAACTAAACACATCAGCTCCTTCGCAGTTAGTTTCAGACAACTGGAACAGGCTACAGGGTTTCTCAGGCCTTTGTTGGATTCCTCTTAGAATAGAATACTGTTTCATAGAATACCTCTGACATCGAAGAGTCAGCCCTTCAGTCCTTTTGCACTATTTCCAACAGTGCTGCCGCAGGTAATTTCTCTTCGGAATTCCTTTTTTCTGGGTTTACTGATACCTCCAACTTTCTGAATCGTGGCTTCCATCGTCCGTTTTGTCCATAGATTTTAAGCCGGACCACTGCGGGTACAGCTAACAGCGACAATCCCGCGGACAGTTAGAAGTTCTGCGGCCTGTATTCGTTATCCGAGTGTCTTATGCCATCTGGCGGCTATGGTGATCTATATTGAAGAGGGCCGTTAAGCTGTGGCGGACGCTTCATTATTCCCTCAACCAACTTCACTTAATTTGTCTAGTACATCCGTGTTCACTAGATCACGCGACTCGCCTGCTCCGCAAGCACACTCAAAAATCACACCACACAATCGTGACTTACTTGACTACACAGCCTACAGCCGCTCACTAGATCAGGAGACTCGTCTTTTTTACACTTACAAATCACACTACATAAGTGCGACTCATCTGATATTGACTGTCTACCGTCTGGTACGTGAGGCAGCAAGTCATGTATTGACACACACACGCACATGTACCTACTTGTAGGAAGATACAACACATTCACCACACGCACCCGTGCGCGCAGGGAGTCAGCCAGACACTTCAAATCAACAGAGAATTATGGAACACGTGTAGCAGCTATACTGCGAAGAAAACACATTTCCGTCGTCCGGAATTCCATCCAGGAGCTCTCACGAGTTATCCACAAAGGATAAGTCATCTTTTGACTTATTCCATTGTTCACACTGTATTTTATCATGGAGCAACTAGTAATGGTAAACTACTATTCACCATGGTAAAAACTGTTATTAGTGCACATACCTTCTGAGTTACATTAAGAACATCAATTGGCATAACCAACTAATAAACCATGTGAAAGCAATCCCATAGAACCGCTGGAGTTCACAGGTACAGGATACCTGTTCGTCACTTGCTTATTAGTCAGATGCATCAAGTCCTGGCTACAGTATTCATTCATGTGATGTATTTAAGTCATCAAGCAGAACAAACTTTGACTCCGGTTACCGATAGAATATTATCACCTGCGTGCTACTGGGCAACCATCCAAATCCATTTTCGCTCCCACAAGCTCACCGACGTTCATGAGGATGTGGACCGCATTTGGGGAAAATACCGGTTTTCGCCCAGATGCAGGCTTTCAAGCCTAAGGTTTCGCGAGATGCGAACAGGTGATGATTCCTAATAAGGATGAGGCAGCTGCAGCATTGATTGCAGGACGAGATATCCATTGAAATTTTCTACATCGCTTCACACTACCAACAGCCATTTAGAGAGGACGGGTCAACCGACCGTGCCAAACATCAAACCCCAGTAAGAACGCAGATGATTATGACAAGCCAACCGGAATAAGGTTGTACGGGGACCTGTATTTTCAAAACAAAGCTGTTTGGGTGCCGTATGAGAACTATGAACGACAAAATTCGCAGAATACTCCACTCTTGGTGAGCAGCTCCACGGATTCATGAACACAAACCCCGTGAAGCAACGGATCAAGCAAACATGATGAGTGAAATGGCAGAGTATGAACAACGGTGGATAATGCAGGATGAAATCGAGTCTAAGAGCAGGTGTGACAATGACCACACTTTGAAAGCATAAAATACCACTTGAATGCAAATGTTTGTCGAATGAGGTCAGATTCAGACATAGTGCTAAGAACAAATTCTACAGAGAATGGGAGGTGCGAAGCACTCTTTGCTTGCTTACCTCGATGTCATCCCCTTAATATGTAAAGAGCATTTTGCCATAAAGGTTTCGCATAAGGTTACACAGCAAGACTAACCGAAGTCAGCCCATGCCCGCCTAATTGTTGTGAACGGCCAGACAACCACGACACTTGAACTTCTGTTCACTCACGAACAACGACCGCCCCAGTCCACTAGAATATCTAGCTAAAATACGCTTTAATATGTTTCCACAGGAGTAAAAGTGTGAAGAAGCATCACATTCTGATACCACAATAAAATACACTAGGAAAAAAATGACTAAATTAAACGAGAATTTTTGGCAGTCGATAAAGCTGGATCCTTGTCTGGTAGACTGTGTTTACGTTCAGCTGTGCGTAAAGAACTCTGCAAAACAAGCTTGGGTGAAGAAGTAAGATCTTGGAGTAGGAACGGGTGTTCAAAGTGCAGTACAAATTTAGATGAAGTTGATTCTGTGAGCAAGGAATCTGCGGCAATGAGCATGGCGTGGGTGCAGGCTAGAGGCCACCGATTCAGATGCAATTCCATCGTGGTACCCTTTCGGCTCATTTTAGAACCCATGAAAGTGCGAAAAAAGGGTAGAAGAATCTGAGAATCGCTATTCGCATTGATCCACCAGGAAACATATTCCACGAGAGATGTGTTTTCGGATAAATTCAAGGAATGTAGAGAGGGAAACGACTCCACAATCATGGTGAGTAGCGACTGGTTTTGGATACTCTCATCACGCGGTTCAATGGTCAGGGTGAACACAGAACAAACACCAAGATGAACCAGATTGGGACAGAGTTGTGAGAGCTTTTCCGACAGAAGTTTGAGCCGGGATGCCAGTTTGGAACACACTGGGGGACCCCCGAAAAGACGGTAACAATGACTCAGATCCAAGTGAGTCAGCGACGTGCCCTCAAGAAACCGAAGGAGGTGACGATCAGCAAACCAACCACATCCCGTTAAATCCAGACGGTTCAAATTTGTCAAACGTTGGTGAAACTCTAGCAAGTGATCATCGCTTTAAAACAGAAAAAACGAACAAAATAGGAATTGGAATGCCTGTGGAATGGTTGGGAAATAAGACGACCAAAATTATGGCTAAAACAGGAAAACAGTGAAGCATTTTCAGGACTTTTCCATTCGTCTACGGAAATTTCTAGTAAATCACACACATCTGCTACGTCCACAGTACTAGATCAAACAAGCAGCGAAAGTTGTTACTCTTTCCCCTCAGGAATTCGCGCCTACGAAGTATGCGGATGAGCTTCCGTTACTCGTCCCTCTAACTTTTGCTTCCAGACAATTCAGCATGGTGCCAGCCGTCGCTGATTGAGTTCTTTTTCATCCAGGTTCCGGGGACATTTACTTCAGAAGCCCAAAACATGGCCAAGCGTATTGGGTCAAACCCAAAGGAAGAGCAACCAAAGTATCTGGATTTTGCTAGGGATGATGAAAGACCGTTTGTTCTCCTATAATTTGTCAGAGCTTGCACAAAAAACGCTAAATACTGGTTCTACCAGACAGGGTTCATGTTGTCAGCATACACTGATGACCATGTCAACTATTCATCTATTTGTCTGTCTCATTGATCAATGGCTCCTACAGAACGACCCGTTAATTCCCTTTCTTCTCAGGTGATATCCTACACACAGTCGCATATTCCTCAGTCGTTTAAATAAGCCCCAGTAAACTACCCATCGGAGTATAGCCTACTTCAGACGTTTTTAGCGGCACAAAGTTACTATAGTCGCCGTCGGAAGTGGAGCACGCGGATAAATAGATACATAGTGAGGGCAGCGCCCTAGTCGGTTGGTTTGCTCATCAATGGTACTCAACAGCTTGAAGCATATACCTGCGCAAGGTCGTCAGTGAGCGCACTGACGATGACTCTCACATGACGACGAAACGTTTGCAAGTCAACTGCCAAGCTCGGCGAAGAGATCAACAGCCAATAAACTCTCCCGAGCTACAAAGATTTAGATATTGTTAATATCGCTTTTTCTCACCAAACTGCGATAACCCTAACTGAGGTACGTAGCTGGTACGGAAATTTTGGGAAGACGTTCTATTTAGCACCGCAAGCAAGTGCGGCTTACCACACAACGACCCTGTGCACAAAGGTGCAGTTTCACGGAAATACAACGGTCGTTTCTTTCGAGTGAACGAGAGCGTGGACGAACACGTTGTTTTCCGCATAACTTAATGATGGAGGTGGCACTCGACTAAGCTAGTGCTAACGCTGAGTGAGTCCGGAATCTTTCGTCGGGTATCCTGCTTGTGACAGAAATCATTCAACCAAAGTATCTCCGGCTGCAGGTAGCTACACCAGTAATGCAAAAAACGCCAGTTTCATTACCTACTTGCACGTTGGCACGTTTTTTAACGAAAGCTATACTTTTTTGTCCGTCCTATCCATTTTTACTAAAGCACCCGGGGAAACATTTGTACGTGGAGAGTCAAGATTCCCAAAAGAATGTGCTCAATTTTAGTAGATCGTATGGATGAGAAATTGTATTATCAAAAGATACCAAACGGTCTATTTTCGCTTTATCCTTTTTTCGATCTTGTTCACGTCTTCAGGAGCGTACACGATTCTTCGAAATGTGGTAGTGTGACACATTGTAGCAGTCCCTACATCTACTTCGGCATGTTCTTCATTCTCATTTCTCCCCAAGAGTCCTATGGAATCCGAACTGCCTTCTAAGGCTTACTACCAGACTAAAGGCCGACGTATGGCCTGACAGTCATCGAACCCTCATGTCAACCGAAGATAGTTTTACGTAAGTGGTTCCGAGGCGAACGAAGGCCTAGAGTGATACGATGTAGTTTAGGTAATGTATGGAATCCACACTAACTGAGTTACAAGTTCGTTGACGCACTAGACGGCTTGTTGACCGTCTTCCGGATCTGCACAACAGCGTCTAATAGCTGAACTCAATGCGAAAATAAACACTCTGCCGGGTTGGTCACGGAGTACGAGATAGAAGTTTCAAAAATAGGAAAGTGTAAGAGGATCTGCCCCAGAATATGATTTTTTGCGAACTAAATTAATACTGCATAAAAGGCTACAGGAAGAAGTATGTTCCGGGGCTGGACAGCTTGATGGACGGTGGAGTTGCCTGTTACCATTCAAACCCTTTCCTTAATTTTGGTTCTTGCAACTAGTTATCCGTTTGTTCCCACCCTGTTTAAGGATACTGAGTTGGTCGCGTTTATCTAACACTAGGGAGGGATGCACTTGGCGGCTGTCCAGTTGGGCATAGATCGATCATAATCATAACCTAGACACAAAACTTCCCGTTTGGAAGTTTTCCTGAGTTGGCTGCGCAGCAACGTCACAATGATTTTCAATGTGACCAAATCACTATCTACACTATGTACACTGCACTATCTACACATCAACAGCTGATTGGATACGTTAGTCAATCATCATCTCTTGCCATGAAGCACCCTTAACTCTAGTCGCTGGAACCGACTGCGCTTCAGGAGGTCATGACAAACCTTATACCACACTAGCAACAACGCTATCCCAACAGCCAATTCGAAAGCCCATATTCTACTTGATGATCCAATCATTCTTTTCCGCACAAAGCGGCAGTCTTTGTACACCTCTGAGGATACCCAAAAGGAATGCGAAGTTCTACCAATACAAGCAAGCCAAGCGTACAACCGAGGGATACTGGGCTCAAACAGCCATGTTCCAGATCAGTCAGTCTGTCAGAGATGTAATTCCGCATCAAAATAGTACGAAGCCGGATATGACAACAGTCGGCCAACCAATTAATAGAACGAATCCTTGATCGGCTGTGCTTACCAATGTTTCACGACCAGATGATTGACTTTCAGCGTGCGTAAGCATTCTGGCAAAGCCAATGCGATTGGCCAAAAGCTTTCCAGCCGTCCATAACTTATGCAGAACCGTTGCAATTGAGGGCAACTATTGATGACTGAGATCAAAGGAGTCTGAATCGAAGGCGAATGGCCGACTAAAACATATGTCCTGATGTCAAAATAATCCTACAGCATAACACCACGGCACGCGTTGTTGGACCAACCAATTTACGACGTAGCAGGTACTTCAAGCGGTAATTAGACATCTTGAGGTTACTCAGGTTCACACAATTCCACAGAGCGGGTGCTCGCGAAATGGTATTCCATCTTCGACTCACCCTAGAAAAGAAAATTACCCTCAGTACTAGGTCGACTTACCGAGAAACAGAACGTATGAGATCATCGTGTTCGAGAAAGCTAAAAATTCGGAGCAGCAGGTCATCTGGGAGACTTTCCATGGCCGAGTGAAGCTGAATTGTACTCACTGCATCGCAAATGCCCGGTGAAACAGTTGGAGAACGTTGATGTAGATTGATCAAAAGATGGCAGCAACATCAAGCAGGATAGACCGGAAAGTAAGGCTGGCAAAATGCGAGAAAAAGCGATGTACAAGAGCACGAGTTTCCGTATCCGTATTTGAAAACTTATGAATGGAGTTGAATATTTAGGGTATATGAAGGAGGATTCAAAAGTGACGTGGCGACTGCAAAAACCCACCACAGGCCAGTCTTATTACGTGAAAAGGCCTCCTCTCTGAAAGATCCTGGTTTACTGAGAGCTTTAGCGAAGCAATAGACTTTAAAACTTGGCGCTGTTGGTGAAGAAAAAGCCTCATCTTCCATATCGTACGGCTCGAAAACCCAGCAGTTGCGAGCGGAGGACTTTCGAAGTTGGGCTATCGGGATGGCTCAAGTGGTCAGAGTGCGAGTCCACTGACCGAAAAAACTTATGAATGGAGTTGAATATTTAGGGTATATGAAGGAGGATTCAAAAGTGACGTGGCGACTGCAAAAACCCACCACAGGCCAGTCTTATTACGTGAAAAGGCCTCCTCTCTGAAAGATCCTGGTTTACTGAGAGCTTTAGCGAAGCAATAGACTTTAAAACTTGGCGCTGTTGGTGAAGAAAAAGCCTCATCTTCCATATCGTACGGCTCGAAAACCCAGCAGTTGCGAGCGGAGGACTTTCGAAGTTGGGCTATCGGGATGGCTCAAGTGGTCAGAGTGCGAGTCCACTGACCGAAAGTTTTCGATCGAACCCAACCTCTGCCTCTCGACTTCCACTACATAAGCGTGGGAAACCTGACAGTATCCCATTTCTCGTGCTTTCCTCGGGTGGCATAGCAGCTAGTCACCGGAAAGCTGTTACAGCTGAACGGTGTTATGTATATGTTTTTATGAATATCGATGTCTTGACAGCATTGCTCGAGTATGCTGGGAATGCCGGATCAGTAATGCTCAAGTACGCTCTCTTCTCTAATGTAAGCAGTGAGACCTGGGCGTTACGCAGTCACCCTGTTCGGATTCTGGACCAATTTCACTCGCACAGCTTCCACAAAATCTACTGGGCCAAATACCGAAGTCTACCGAATTAACACAGGCTGGTGTGGCACCAGCTAAATGGGTAGCGAAACCCGCATCTAGAAACAACTTATCTAAGGCCATAATGGATGAATCGATGAACTGATCACAATTCATACGTTGCGCTGGCTCGGTCACCTGCTATATATAAGAATCGGTCGAATTCCTCAAACAGGACTTTGAAAAAGCCACGTGAAGAATGAAAACGAGCCAGGGGAGGTCAAATAGTGAGTTGGCAGCGAAGTACGGAGGCCATCACCAGCAAACTCAGCTGCGCTGATAATTTCCGTCCTACTAGATGGGCAGTCCGAGATGGGATACATCAATGGATAGACATTATTAGATATGGCCGTGACATGCAAGCATCTAGCTGTTGCCTTCAATGCATAAATTTACCTCCGGATCTCCTCAACGAAAATTCCACTGACACCCCTGTATTGACGCATCATTTACGTCAGCCACCGCTTCCGATTGGTAAATATCTGCCCACACCTCACTAAATCATTAGCGAACGAAACTACGGCAGCAGTAACCACTGTACGGCAAGTACTGGAGCTCAGTATTCACAATGAAATTTAATTTTCGAAAGCTACGACGTGTCCCTGAT